AGAATCTGATCATTTGAGCATCACACTCAGCACTAAACCATGATAGAATGTACTCTCGGTGTTGGTACTCTATACACAACACATGCTCTTCTCTCTCTCTCCTCCTCGCTCTCTCTTTCTCTTCCTTGTGATTATAAATCTCCTAACTGTCCTAAGCGTATCCAGTGCCACCTATGTCCAGGTCAGAGCGGCACACAGAGAAGGGTCTTGCTGTGATTTTGCTTAGAGACCTGCTCTTTCCTTATTATCATTCAGAAAGAAGACACAGCCAAAGACAGCCCTCAGCCGTCTGGGGAGAAGCTGTCTTTACAGGGAACAGTCACAGGCTATCATTCTCTGGACCTCTGCTTGTCTTCAGATGCCTGTGGTCCTCAGCCCACAGTGAGGGTCTGTGTGGCCCCTGACTCGAGTAGGATCCAACAGGATCCTCATCGGAATATCTGATTCACAGAAGGCAGCGAGTGTAAGGTAGGAGATCATCAGGACTTGTATTCTGAGCACCGATCACAACACTGGTCATGACAATGCTGATCAGAACAGGATCTGGACAAAACAGGATGCACTACAGAAACTGGCCCAAACCAGCTAGAACCAAGATGGTGACAAAAACAACCTCCAGACCACATCATGAGTCAGTCCTCCCCTGAAGGCTCCCGTCAGACAGACTGGTCACCATGGCTCAGTGGTGAGTGGTCATAGTATGAAACGCCTCCACAGTCTTTTCACAGCCCCGTCTGACTGCAGTGATGTGGGATTTCTCTGTCCAACTTTCACGGTTGGAGCAACTTCTGGGACTCTGTTCACAATGGGAGGTTATCAAGGTAGTTAGGCTGCTCATGAACAGAGTGACATCTGTCCAGACTTACCCCCTTGACCCAGGCAGGCATCGTGTCCAGGGGGCTGTGGGAGTGAGCAAGAGCTAGCAGCCAGGCATTTTTTCCCATTAAGCTAGGCAAGGACAGTGCTATTACCCTGACTGGTCCAGTTGGTAACAGTGACCCTGTCTCCTGGAATACAGGGAGGGGCCTGGAGACGAGCACCCCACAATATCCCAACTGTCATGTAAGTGAGGAACAAATATGAACATCCCCAAATATTAATTCTAAGTAAATGCTTTATTCAGTTCTATTAAATTCTGATAAGAAAGCAAAATGGGCTAAAAACTTCATCTTGAAGGAAACATTCATGTTTAATGCACAGAAACTGAAGTTGAAGCCTGAGTTCTCCCTCCTCACCAGAGAGTTGGAAAAGCAGGAGGAAGAGGAGCAAAGCTGGGTCCCCATGTCCATGAGGGCCTCCTGAGGCTGACCTTGCTCAGAGAGGGTAGGGAAGGTGGATGAGTCAGCTTGCGCTGCCACACGAAAAACACAGTACTGGATGGCATAAACCACAGGATTTCATTTTCACCTTTCTGGTGCCTGGAATATCCCAGATCGATGTCCAGCAGGGTTTGTTTTCTGGTAAAGATGTTCTTCCTGGTTTGCAGATGCCACCTCCCCCGCCCCATGTCCTCAATTACATCTTTAGACGTCCTAATTTCTACAGTCACAATGAAAATCAGAGTTTCAACATGAATCTGAGGACACAATTCAGTCCATAGCAGGTGGGACATAGCCAAGGCCATGCTTCCAGTCTCAGGGCACGGGGCAGGTTCCCACAACTCAGCACATGGGTGGCTCCGCCCAGGTGCCCAGGTCACAGGAAAGACCCGACTCTAACTCTAGGGCTCCCTGTTGATAACGGGACACCAGCACTCCTACTTTCCCAGTGTTCCTGAGACCATGGTGTTGTCTTTTGTTTATTGTGGAGTGTGTTTGCCATCTTCAGACAGGTCTTTGGCATAGCAACTTACAGGACATTTGATTCTGTGATTGTGAAAATTAATTATTGATTAATTAATCACAAATAACAAACAATACATTGCATCAGAAACAAAGGAGAGCCAAATGAAGAGCTTAAAAGGAGTCTGAGTATCTAAAAAGGATGTATTCCTTTCAAACAAGAACAGTTAGAGTCACAGATTTTTTTAATAAATGACTTTTTAGCAGCAATTATGAAATAGCAAATGACAACTTCAAATAGGCTACAACAAACATAAGTTTATAGCCAAAAAATATTTTCAAGAATTATGTAAATGCATTTTCAGATTAAAACAAACAAACAATGAATGTGGGTTTATCAGCAGATCCAATCAATGGAAAATTTCTCAATTGCGTGACTGAGTCAAAAGTACATTTGTCACTGATGGAAAGCTTCAGATTTTTTTTTTTTTTTTTTCTGTTTTTGCTTTTGGTCCTTAGAAGAAAACAGCTTTCTCTCCACTCTGTTCCGCCTCATGCTGCTGAGGATGACCGTGGAGGCAGTGACTGTGAGGAAGGAGGAAGACTGTGCTCTTAGGGTGGTCGTGCCTCCTGCCCACCTGAGTGACCTCGTGGAGCAGAGCCACCCACACCACAAAGGCCTCCCGCCTGCCTCTGCGCTGCCAGGCAACACAGAAACCTTATCACATTTAGTCCACCATATTTTGAGGCTTCTTTGTAATAAATCTGATTATGCTGTGATTCTTCTTGTATCTCTCCCCTTTCAGTTTTTGGAATCATTTACTTTTCACCATTTTGACTTCAGAATATAGACCTTTGGGATATCAACATCAGGTAGGTTGTACGTTTGTTTGCTTTTCCTAAAAACATATCTAACCACCTTGAATGGATTTTTATTTTATCTTCTGTCTCACAGAAAGCAGAAACTCAAGGTGATTAGGTGCTGTCAATCACAGGAGGGCTAAAGTGACAACGGAATTGCTGTATCTCCTGCTCTTGCTACTTACATCTTATTTTCTTTTACTGCATTCTGTAATAACATTTAGGCTCAATGATGCATTAATTAGTATTTTTGAATAACATATTAAGTGTCTTATGTTTCTTACTTTGAGGGCTATGGTCTGATAAATATCTATATACCTTTTTGCCATGCAACTTTTAAATCTAACAGAAATGACATATTGGAATTTTAATTGCACTTACTATGGAATCCTTTATCTTGAAATAAATCATCTCACTATAATTTAAGTCCTTAGCCTTCATTGATATATTGTTCTATTGACCTAACTAGTCTTTTGTGTCTCTACACCATATTATCACATGTAAGAAACATCACTCATTACTTGGATTCATATAAATTTATTTGGCAGAACAATCAAATCATGATTATACATGATAATCCGCCACTCGCTCCGCCTCCCGTCACGCCATTCTCCTGCCTCAGCCTCCCAGTGCGACTACGCCCCCCCCCCCGCTAATTTTTGTATTTTTAAGACGTTCACCGTTAGCCAGGATGTCTCATCTCCTCCTCTATCCCCCTCCCCCCAATGCGGATACAGCTTGACCACCGCCCGCCATCCCACTTTCCAAACTTTCTCTCTCCTTTACCACTCAAACAAAACTGTCCTCTCTAGTATTATGGTGAAAAAAGCACTATTGCTTTTTCAACAGAAAGCAATTCTGTTAGGTTTAAAAGTTGCATGGCAAAATGTATATAGATATTTATCAGACCATAGCCCTCATATTAAGAAAGCATAGGCCAGACATCGGGGCTCACGCCTGTAATTCCAGCACTTTGGGAGGCTGAGGCAGGTGGATCTCGAGGTCAGGAGATTGAGACCATCCTGGAAAACATGGTGAAACCCCATCTCTACTAAAACTACAAAAATTAGCTGGGTGTGGTGCTGCTCGGGAGACTGAGGTAGGAGAATCGCTTGAACCCGGGAGGTGCAGGTTGCAGTGAACCAAGGTCGTGCCACTGCATTCAAGCCTGGCGACAGAAAGAGACTCTGTCTCAAAAAAAAAAAAAAAAGAAAGAAAAAAAAGAAAAGAAAAGAAAAAGAAAAAGAAAGCATGTAAATTTACAGCACTATTGTTAATGGAATCTATTAAGAGCATATTTTTTCGATGCATTTACAACTAAAATAGAGGATTCAGATTTATTTTCAAAAAAGTGTCATAAAAAAATAACGCATTTATTCAGTCTTTGAATCATTGTCTTATGAAAACATACTACTAAGTATTTCCTCTCTAAAACACTATGTCAGTAAAATACTCTTAAAATTCTAAAAATTTGAGGAGGAAATAAAAATCTCATATAATTCTGCATCGTTCCTGTGGTACATTACAGAGACTTTATGTTTTCCTTCTGAGTTATTTTGTTTATTTTCAAAGCCCACTATTGGAATTGCAGGAACTCCATTTTCAGTCAGCAAAAGGTAACTGAGGAAAATCAAACTATTTTGGTATTAGGATTTATATCTGCCCTGGAATTTTTTTTTTTTTTTTTTTTTTTTTTTTTTTTTTTTTTTTTTTTTTTTTGAGACGGAGTCTCGCTCTGTTGCCTGGGCTGGAGTGCAGTGGCCGGATCTCAGCTCACGACAAGCTCTGCCTCCCGGGTTCACATCATTCTCCTGCCTCAGCCTCCCAAGTAGCTGGGACTACAGGCGCCCGCCACCTCGCCCGGCTAGTTTTTTGTATTTTTTAGTAGAGACGGGGTTTCACCGTGTTTGCCAGGATGGTCTCGATCTCCTGACCTCGTGATCCGCCCGTCTCGTCCTCCCAAAGTGCTGGGATTACAGGCTTGAGCCACTGCCCCCGGCCTGCCCTGGATTTTTAAAATCTGTAAGTAGTTAAAAAAAAAAATCAAACATTGTAACTAATTATTCTTAGCCATACTCCTGTGAGGACAGCTGGTGCAGAATGCTTTCTCCACCATAATACTAGAGAGGCCAGGGTTGTGTGAGTGGTAAAGGAGAGAGAACGTTTGGAAAGTGGGAAGATAGGAATTTCCCAGTATGACCCGGTGTTATCATGCATAAAACTATCTCCAAACCAGTCGTTTGTAATATGTATTTCACTTGTGTTACCACTAACCTGCATCCGTGATCTAATTGTTCTGCCAAATAAATGGATGGGACAAATGTGGGCCAGACAGGGAGGGTGAGGATGAGCCTTCATTCACTCTCCCTTCATCAGAGCTGGTTGCTCCCAGAGCACGTGGCCACCTGTGGCAGCTGATGGGGCCTTAACACGTGGGACTAAAACACAGCTGAGGCTCTCATGGGCCAGAGTCCTGTATTCTCCAACAGCCTCCTCTTTTGCAGTCTCAGAGACCCTGCCGAGCTGCTCCCCAGACAAGCAGCCTATGGGGCAGCTGGGACACCCCAGCAGGGAGGTTTCTGTTTCAGAATGTACCACTGTGGGAGGAAACTCTATACTTTGCATACAGTAATACACCCCAACATCCTCAGCTTCCACCCGGCTGATTTTCAGTGTGAAATCAGTGCCTGACCCACTGCCACTGAACCTGTCAGGGACTCCAGAGACCCGGTTGGAAACCTCATAGATCAGGAGCTGTGGAGACTGGCCTGGCTTCTGCAGGTACCAGTCCAAACAGGTGTACCCGTCACTATCCAAGAGGCTCTGACTAGACCTGCAGGAGATGGAGGCCGGCTCTCCAGGGGTGACGGGCAGGGATAGTGGAGTCTGGGTCATCACAATATCCCCACTGGATCCTGAAATAATAACAGAGGTGTGCAAGATTATATAGACACATTATGAGCAGCTTTCATGATTTTCCTTAAGATATTCATTTACAGTTACATATATTTTCAAGTTTTGATTTATATCATAAGAAGTAGACTTTCTAAAATGAACCCATTATTTACCAGCCAGCAGTAAACTCTTTAGTTTCAAGATCTTAACCAGAGCACTGGTCATTGTTCCTAGAAGGTGATTCATGCTTATTTCTGAGACAAAAATATGAATTCTCTTTCCTGCAGCATAGACCATGTGCCTCTAACACATTGTTGAAATAAATATATGAAGTTGTGGAGCCCCCAGAACTCACCTTCCCATCCTATTTTCCCACCTCATTTTAATCCTCTCCTTACCAGGGAGCCAGAGCATTAGCAGTCCCAGGAGCTGAGCAGGGAGCCTCATTGTGAGAAGGTGACCTGAGGAGTCCTGATCAGTCAAGTCAAGATTAGGGCTGAGCTTTTATCTCAAACTCAAAAGGGAAGATCCTCCCTAGGGGACAATATGCAAATCACCTGGTGGATGCAGTGATGTGGAAAAGGTTGATGGGGCAGGGGGAGTGTCTCTTCTGTGAACAATGTGACATAAAATGTTTGTTGGAGCAAAACAAACATAGTTCAAGTCAAGTTTGCCTGTGGTCAAGGGAAGAAGGCTCTGACTGTGCAAGTTGGGACCTTGGGCAGGGACACATTGTGCAGTGCATGCCACACTGAGAAAGCACAAGGACTCTGACAATGTGGAAATGTGTTTCCAGGATGCATCTCTGGGAGGTGAATGCCATCCTGCATGGCTCCCTCCAGCCAATCTAGAGAAGAAAACAGCCTCATTCCCACAAGCACAGACGGGCAGAGGGCCTGCAAATGAAAAGTGCTCCTGAGCCAGTTCAAGTGTTGCCTGGTGTCTGCTGTTTCCAGGATAACTGGTCAACATTGTTCAATACACGTGTTAGAATCTCCCCTTCCCTGGAACCTGATGACTGAGCCCCATAAGAGCACTCTGTCCAAGGGCCTCACAGCGAGAATGATGTGGGTCTCTACATTTAGAGCCAAGAACCCAGCATAAGTAAGATGAAAGTGGGCAAGAGTGTTATGCCTCAGGCAGTGAATATAAAATTCCTGGTGACGAACTGTTCAATCTGGGATAGTCCCATCGTGATCATCTCACATATATAAGATTAACCAGCAGGCCCTCATAGGGAAGAATTTCCTAAGTTAATGATACAGACCAAATAAGAAATAACACTGCATGGTGTTTTTCAGAGTGGTGTTTAGGAAAACTCTTCTCACACAGTCTCCCTGGTCATGTGGGATCAGGTCCTATCAGGGCTTCCAGGTTCTTGCCAATCCTGAGTGAGACCTGAGTCACCCCTAGTCTGGATGTGCTGCAGCCACAGCTGTGAGTCCACATTTCAGAAGGAAATTGTCTATGTGAGAAGAGCAAGGACTGCATCTACAGTCTGATGTCTCAGGGTAATCTGTACCTGAAGCTGACATTTTCATGGTTTCATGTAAAGAAGTGCACAGCTCAGGGTTGTGAGTTTGCCCCACAGCTGATCATTACAAAGGGGATCAATCTCATGTTTCTTCATTTGTTAGTGATGTGCTTAACATTTAATTGAACAGCTCCTGAATAATGGTGCCAATACCAAACACCATCACAAGGACAGTCACATTTCTGGAAAAAAAAATCCTGGAACAATTGAAAGACTAACTTGTATCGCTATGTAATCTTGGGTAATTTAACAGAAATTCATATTTAATTGTCCAAGAACATAAACAAATGAAATTCTGGGTATAATTCCAGATGAAATTTGGTTTAAAATATCTTCTGGGAAATCTGCCAAAATAATGCTTTTTCCAAGCGTTATTTTGGAAAAGATAATTGAATAACGATGACATTGACTTTTAAATATTGAATGCCATTGCAATAATTTGGGTTAAGGCAATGAAATTGTACTTAAGAATTGGTTTAGAATAAAGGCTCATATTTTACAATTTCAAATTTATTTACTCTTTTCCTCATTAAATTTAGTAACTTTTGTGTACTTGACTTTTTCTTTTCTTATGTTATTAACCAATTCTAATCTGCTTCTTAGTCTTGAAAGAATTAGACTCCTAATTAATCATAATAGTGAAAAAAAGAAACATCAGAAGCCCCAGGAAAAGGAAAAGAAAACACAAAACATAATTAGCCTACCTAAAATAGAATGAGATGGTGTATCTTATTGCAAGTTTTAAATAATTATTCTGACAGGGTGTTAAATGAAGAACCAGTTCTATCCATTATTCAATATGGAAATTTGAATTGCAAAAAAGTGAATAACAGTAAAAAAATTTTCAGATTTTCTTATACTAAAAGTCAATTCTTAAATATGTTATTTTTGCAAAGTATTCTTTAAGATGCTTGAATTTAAGATAGCCTTGCTGTTTCCTATGAAACTTAATAAAAAATCATTAAGAAGGCTACCACTGTAATTTAAAAAAAAAATCTCACGACCTGTTGCCTTACATACCATAAAACGTCAAATCTTGTAAAGATCTTTTATAGTCAGAAAAGGGCTTTGAAATTACCCTATATTACCTATATACTTAAAGAATAATATTACTAATTCTGATTAGAAACCTCCCTCTCTTATCTGTTGACACCTTACCCCAAGGCTTCGACAACAGCAGACAAAGCTGGTCACTCCACAGTGGACACAGATCAGAAGGTGTTAGAACCACCTCCATTCAGATCTAGGTGCGCAGCAGGCCTCTGCCTCTGTGTGTCTCTAACATAAACCGTGGTCACCTGAATGAGGGAGGACTTATGCAGGTGGAGTTTATTGTGGCTGTGTCTCCTGTTTCTGATGCGGTTAGTTTGGGGTCCATAGAATTGGGAGCAACTGCATTATTCATAAGGCTTGGGAAGAGAGACTTAGAAGTGGAATTGTTTGTGTTCATGACCCTGGAGTCAGTGTTTGGGGTGGACACTGTGATCTGATTTGTAGGGGATTGGAAGGACTTGCGGGCTGAGCAAGGAAAAGAGATGGCCGCAGGGGGGCAGTCACACACATGACTTTATTGAGTGAGGCTTTCACAGGTTTGCAGAGACAAGACCCTCCCAGCAGGAATCTGTACAGAGAATAAGATGCCAGGGTTGCTTCTCAAAACGGATGGGTCACTGGACATGGGGCTGTATGTCTGGGGGACGCCACACAGCAACACAGTGGGGAGTTTCTGGTTTAAAGTTTTCACAACTGGAGTTTATCTTATTGCTAGCAGATGTGGTTGAAATTTTCTGGACGTGCAAAGTAATTATTTTCTAAAAGCCTAAAAATATTCTTCTTTGGGCTGTTTTTAAAATAATTACATTGTAAAATTTGAGTTTGGAACAGGCCATTGAGAAATAAATGCAGTTTTGAAATAAGCAGTATAGGGGTCAGAACACACAGACCATGTTTGGCTCATTTATATATCACTGTTTCCAATTCTGTAGACTTTGTTCTGCAGACTGTGTTAGTCCAAATTCTCCAGACCAACACTACCATGGAAGAGGCTGAGAAACACAGAGGCCTGTTTTACCTGGGGTAAAATGAAAATTCTTTTTGATTAAAGGGGAGTTTCTCTTTGGTTGACAATTAAGACCAAGCCACCCACGAGTGTCCCTCTGTGAAGCTGCAGGTCCTGTGACTGGATTCCTGGCTGCAAGGAACCTGGGGTGGAAGCTGTCTGCATTATCTCACTAAGTGTAAATTGTCACTCACTGGAGCATCGATTCACAGATAAATACTCTGGAACACTGAGAGCTCGGGGAATGAAGGCTCCGTGAATGTGTATCTTCTGCTTCTTAGAATCCATCTCTCCAGCACTGGAAGAAACAGGGTTGTTTGTGTGTTTCACCTTCAGACCCTGTTCTAGACCTGTCTAAGCTGAACATGTTTCCAAATGTTTGAGGTCTTGTTCTTCACTTTTTCTTGGAAAACATATTTAGAAATTTTATAAAACTATACACACAGCTATGGGATTAAGTGGTGAGCCTTTCCTCTGTGCTTGTTAATGTTTCTGCAGAGCCCACCTCACCTACCAACAAACTGCACATGATTCTGTTTCCTTCCTGAGCATTCTGTGTCTTAAAAGTTCCCTCTCAATTCTCATTCTTGCATAAAAGGTCTTCTGCTCTCAAAAGTAGGTCTTCATAAAACCTTAGCTTGCTTAGGAGGTTAGTAATTTTTTCCACTCTTTGAATGTGATATTGGCCTTGTTAACCATACAATAAACCCTGGCTTACTTGAAAGATGGGAAGTGGTAAACCCAAAAACTTTCCTGAAACTTAATTGGCAAATTTATCCTTTAAACTGTAGTGGAAGCTGCAGTTGATATGACAATTTGTGTGAGAAAAAGTAAAGTAACTTTTTTCTCTTAACTTAGATAATTTACCTATAGAAAAAACGGAAATAGAGTTTGAGAGTTCTCACACTCATAGCTTTTTCTTTCATTTTAAATAATTCTAAGAATCCATAAAATACTCATATTAATTATAATTAAAGAAATTTTAAGACTCTCAGGAAAACAATCAGGGATCAAATTAACTCACTTAAACTGATTCCTAAAGTAACTGAAATTGTCTTTTAGCTTCTTCCTTTCATCTCCTGCTAGCAAAAATCGAACCTTCAGAACGGGAAACAGGTAAGAGCTGAATGAATTATTTAGTTCTCATTCCTTGTCTTAAAATAATAGTCAATAATAATAATAACACAATCTCTGCATTGACAACCGGAAAGAGTGACTCCCTGCCCTACTGGAAGCAGCAGCTTCACCTCATGGTACTGAACTTCATTGTTACTTGGTCTCTCTAGAGCAGTAGCTAAGGATCACCCAAGTGTAAATGCTCCATGAACAACCAACTGATCTTGCTTTTCAGTACTTCTAGAAGTTGGCTCTTATAAAATGCCTCCAAGGAGGAAGAGAATGAAGAATCATTAATAAAATAAAATTTAAAAAGATAAATTCTGACCTCCCGGGAGCAATCAGGAACATAACTACTAAGTTTAGAGGCATCATCTCTTGCTAGACACTTACTTGGCTCCATCTTACTCATATTTCATATTCTTACCTTAGTAAATTTGAAACATCCTCAATCTGCAAAATGATTTAGTTTGTGTTCTAGAATCCTAGCAGCCATAAAAAGAAATTAAAACTGAATATGAGAATATGTATTAATCTGTTACCCCGGGAAAACTGATTATACAAAAATTAACAATATAAGGCAAAATAAAAGAGAAAATTCTATTCATTCTGTGGAAAATCAAAGCAAATATCTAGTTCTACATAACAATTGTGAGCATGTCATTAAGAAAGACGAGTATCTTTGGTTTCTGGGTTGATGCTAACACATTCAATTTCGGCAAGTCTGTCTAGGGTTCAAACTAAACTCATAGTACTCTCATAACAGTTTATTTT